TGTGTTTAACAGTTACAGTTTAAGTGGTACCAGTGAGATTAGTGTTTGGTCTGATAACAGTAATGACAAGATATTAGCAATGGTTTATGGCTTGCAACAGTTCGTTGGTTATTCTTACACTGGAAACTTGGAATTGAAACCATCTGAAAGTACGTATACTCATGATTGTATTTTTGAAATAAAAATGTTTGTGCAAACTTCTTGTGTTTTGTTTTGTATCTATAAGTAAACACCATTCTTTTTCAGGCTGTTTTCTACTCTGTCAAGCTAATTATGTAATTGACGCTGCTACCTGTACTTGTGTATGTCAAGGAAATAATTGCAGCGAATGTAAGTAATTAATGATTCTTTACGTTACATTTTATGATTTTTTTATACTTTTAGCAAGCTATACTACCCCAAATATTTCAGCTCTTGTATCATATGTTGCTGTGTTGAATGGCTCTAGTGTAACACTGAGATGTGTGTTACATCATGCTGGGAATCCTGGGGCTGCTATTCAATGGACATATGCTGGATCAGTAATTACTAATGATTCACTGTTTCTCATAACTGAGGGCTCAACCAGGCTGGATATTACTAATATTACTACCTCTTATTCTGGAGCATATCATTGTAATGCTTCTAATGTTGTTGGAGCTTCAGTGGCTACTATCAATGTTGATATACAAGGTTTGTACCATCATTTGTGCTAATTCTTATTTTTATATTTTAGAGCCACCATATTTTATAGTTACCCCACCAAACAATTTAACACTACGATATAATAATACTATTACGTTAAACTGTTCATCTGGTGGAGTACCTTTACCAAATATCACTTGGTTCAAGGATGGTATAGTTATACCTACTGATCAGTATACCAGTAGTAATACATCAGATACAATCATTACTATGCTCACTGTTGTGGGATCTTTAATTTCAGGTGGAAATTATACTTGTCAAGCAGTTAATGATCTAGTTGAGAGGAGAGTAGTAAATACTACAGTGAATGTTACTGTTTTTGGTAAGTATAATAGTGATTACTTATTTTATGATAGTTTTTTGCATCATAGAATATCTTGATATTGTACTTGATGATGACACTGATTATACTTTTACTTTGAACCAGTCCGATACCTTTATTATTCAATGTAGTTTCTCTGGTTTTCCTTTGCCAACAATAGACTGGTTTTTCGGTACATTTTCCATGAACAGTACTGAAAATTTTTTTAGTAACAGTAGTAGAGTCTCCATTACCACTAGTATTGATATTCAAGACATTACTGTAACTTCAACGCTAACAGTGAAGAATGTAGATAAAGCAACTGATGAAGGAATGTATAGTTGTACTTCCAGAGATATGTATGTAATAATTTATTCATACAAAATTTTAGACATTGGTTAGTTTTATACTTAAAATTTAAGCATTATTATTTACATGCATGTACTTTTGTCTTTTATATATCTATAGTTTGCAACAATGACTGTGAAGCTGGTTATACACTTGACAATAGCACCTGTGCTTGTTCCCTGTCAAATATATGTGAACTGGGTCCTTGTCAGAATGGAGGTAGTTGTACACTAGTTTCAGCTCCTTCCAATTACACCTGTGATTGTACTGGTACTGGCTATCAAGGAATTAACTGCACCGACTGTAAGTAATTAGATTCTGGCTATTTGTATTAAATGCTATGATTTTTATACTCTTAGCAAACTATATTGCCCCAAATATATCAGCTCTTGTATCAAATGTTGCTGTGTTGAATGGTTCTAGTGTAACACTGAGATGTGTGTTACATCATGCTGGGAATCCTGGGGCTGCTATCCAATGGACATTTGCTGGATCAGTAATCACTAATGATTCACTGTTTCTTATAACTGAGGACTCAACCAGGCTAGATATTACTAATATTACTACCTCTTATTCTGGAGCATATCATTGTATTGCTTCTAATGTTGCTGGAGCTTCAGTGGCTACTATCAGTGTTGATGTACAAGGTTTGTGTCATCATTTATGCTAATGCTAATTTATAATTTATTTTCTATATTTTAGAGCCACCATATTTCATAGTTACCCCACCAAACAGTATATTACTGCAATATAATAATACTATTACATTGAACTGTTCATCTGGTGGAGTGCCTTTACCGAATATCACTTGGTTCAAGGATGGTATAGTTATACCTACTGATCAGTATACTAGTAGTAATACATCAGATACAATCATTACTATGCTCACTGTTGTGGGATCATTAACTTCAGATGGAATTTATACTTGTCAGGCAGTCAATGATCTAGTTGAGAGGAGAATAGTAAACACTACAGTCAATGTTACTGTTTTTGGTAAGTATAATATAGTGGAAATGTAAGTTATTTAATTTCGTATTATAGAACCTCTTAATTCTGCTGGGAGTGATCCTCCTCCCCTTGTAACTTTGAACCAGTCAGACACTTTTATTGCTAATTGTAGCTTCTCTGGCATTCCCTTGCCTACTGTGTTCTGGTTTTTCATTAGTAATGACAGCAGAGTCTCCGTTACTACTGATATTCAAGGGATTACTGTAACTTCAACTCTGACAGTAAAGAATGTAGATAAAGCAACTGATGAAGGAGTTTATGAATGTACTGCCTTTCAACAATTCGGTGGATATCATTTATCTTTTGTTTTATACTTAAACATTGGTTAGTTTTTAAAAGCAGGATAGACATTATTTATTTATTTTTTATTTTAACTCATTTCTAGTTTGTAACAATAGCTGTGAAGCTGGCTATACACTTGACAATAGCACTTGTACTTGTTCACTATCAAATATATGTGAACTGGGTCCTTGTCAGAATGGAGGTAGTTGTACACTTGTTTCAGCTCCTTCCAATTACACCTGTGATTGTACTGGTACTGGCTATCAAGGAATTAACTGCACCAACTGTAAGTAATTAATGCACAGTATCAATATAGTCTACTTATGCTCTTGAATTTTACATGCATACAGTTATATTTAAGTTATGCATAGCATAATTATGGACTCCTGATTATTATTATTATTATTATTATTATTATTATTATTATTGTTATTATTATTATTGGTTGCATTTTATGACAACAATTCATTTCTTGTATATTCTTCTGTATTATAAATTTCTTCCACTACTAGTCCTTGGAATACCTCCAAGCATCACTGCTCCTAAACTAAACTATTCTGTACTGAATGGATCCAGTGCTACATTGACATGCACACTGGAGAATGTAGGCACACCAGTAGCTGCAATAACATGGAGATTTAATGGGAGTACTCTAAGTAACAGCTTCAAGTATACTATCACCAATAGCACATCTACTCTTCCTAATACTGCTGGCTCAACCCAACTTGTTATTAATGATGTGATGGTATCTGATGCTGGTGTTTATTACTGTCAAGCTAGTAATGGAGGAGGAACATCTGCTGCAGGAATCACTCTTAATGTACAAGGTATGAATATTTTAATAATACTTTTATTGTTACAATTAAGCAATGACCATGACAATTTGTTATTGTTATTATTTTATTGTTGTTGTTGTTATTATTGTTATTATTGTTGTTGTTGTTATTTTAGTTCCTCCATCAATCATATCTACTTCAAATGTGACACAAGTACAATATAAAACTGTTTTGACATTGAACTGCACTGCTAGTGGTGTACCAAGACCAGTGGTCACTTGGTCAAAAGATGGAGGGGAATTACCTAATGAACAAATTTTAAATAAAATTCTGACTGATAGTGTTTTATCAAGTGCCTTCAGATTTGAAGGGTCATTAACATCAACCGGACAATACACCTGTACTGCAGTGAATGATTTAGTAGAAAGAAGAGTAGCCAGTGGAACTATAAATATACTTACATACGGTAAGACATACAGGGTTACTGTTATATTTAGACTTTCATCTTTATAGAGCCACTTCAGTTTAATAAAGGACTTATTGGAAACTATTCCATTCAATCTGAGCCATACACAGCATATTGTAACTTCACTGCTCTTCCTCATCCTAATGTATTGTGGGCACGTGATGGGATTACTCTCTACAGCAATACTGATCTTTCTATCACTACTGATGTAGCAGGCATAACTCTATCATCTACACTGACTATTAGGAACTTGAACAAGAAAAAAGATGAGGGGAATTACACTTGTACTGCTACCAGCCTGCAATATAGTCATACCTTTTCAGGGAAATTGCAGATTGAAGGTTAGTTCAAGAATAGAAACACTCAAAATGTTTTAATTCATTTATTTTTCATTCCAGTTCCAGCAGTAGTGAGACCTGATTCCAATAGATTCAGTGCTGTCATTAATACTACTTCGCATATTTCATTTAGTATTACCAATCAGAATGATTTGATCAGAAATCACACCATTCAATGGAATTTTAAAAGACTTGGTACTAATACTTATACTCCTCTCAACTCTGAGATTTTTGATACCTCTCGTTTATCTGATGATGGTCTAAGGTTAATGTTTTCATCAGCTCAGTTGCAGCATAGAGGAACCTACAGGATCACCGTGAGCAATCCTGCGGCTAATGTCACTGCAACTACTAATTTTGATGTGTTTGGTAAGCATAATTAATGTATCATAATTGTAGCAGAAAATCCATTAAAATTGTCTAATGCATTTTGTATAAAGTTTGAGCTGATTCCAATGGAAATTAGATTTTTAAAGAAAATTTAAAGCTGCTTCAAAGTACATCTAATTGGCAAAGGCAAATTAATTCTTGCCAATCAATTAGGAATAATATAGCACTGTATGAATTATTACTTTTGCCCTTTTCTTAATTATAGTTCCTGCTAAACTCCAATACACAGCTGGTATGAGTATTGTGAAGGAAAGACGACAGAACGTGTCCTTCAACTGCTCTGCTGATGGAATACCAATGCCTACCATCGTATGGAGGAAAGATGGCCAATTTCTTATTCAAAATAATAAACGAAGCATAACAGAACAAGGCTCTACTGGTTTTCGCTCTAACGCCATACCGGGAGTATTACAGATTAATAGTATGCTTACTATTACGGGACTCACTGGCTCTGATAATGGTAGCTACTCCTGTAGAGCTGACAATGAAGCTAACATAGGGAGTGTATTGATAGAGCCTTTCATACTCTCTGTTGTGGAACGTAAGTGAACCATTGAAATTATTTTCCAGTAATTGTATGTACTGCCTAGTTTTAGTGAGAAAAATAAATTAAATTAAAATCAAAATAAAGTGAATAAATAAATTTATGTAATATTATTTTTTAAAAATTTTTAGCTCCTCCTCCTGATAATTGTCTCAGTTCCCCTTGTGTTAATGGTGACTGCCACAGTTTGTTTGATGGATATTATTGTGCTTGTCCTGAAACACATACTGGGATAAACTGTGAAGAAGGTAAATGACACTTTTATTTTTAAATTTTGATATAATGAGAAGAGATCGAGAGAGGAGGCAAAAGAGTGGAAATTTTATATCAAAAGAGATGATTATTATTTATAATACATCAATTCCCTTTCTTATCATTGCAGTTGTTCTAGTTACTGTTCCACCAGTTATCACTGAGCCACCTCAGACAACAACTAGCAAGTTGTACTCCTCAACTAGTCTGACCTGTAGAGCTACAGGTTCCCCCACTCCAACCATCCTCTGGTATAAGGACAATAGGCTGGTCCCTAATACAAATCCTGATCCTTCTGTCCTGCTATTTGATGAGCTCCTATTAAGTGATAGAGGTTTCTATCATTGTGTAGCTGTCAATGTCATTGATGGGAAGAATGTATCAGTTAGTTCATCCACAATATTACTCAATATAACGAGTGAGTAAAATTAAAAAATATATATATATATAGTGGGTATTTTTTATTGGGGCTGGGAACTTTTAGCATTTTTTGGTACCTGGAGAATTTAATGTATTAAATTTGTGAGGTCATTGAACATGCATGTTCACAGTGGCTCAAAATGGTGGTTGTAAGAATCATAAAAAACATCTAAATTTTTCCCTATTTAAGATTAGAGTCTAAATTTTCTATTTTTTGTAGATGTGGTCCAATATGAAGCTGAGATGGTCCTACCAGACAATTTCTATGACAATCTAAATGGCACTGAATCAGAAGATGCCATTAGGCAATTGATCATAGACAGTAACAATTACCTCTCAGGGAGCAATATCAGTGATACCTCATTCTTCTTCATTCAAATACTCGACATTGATGAGGACAAGTAAGTACCAGTATAACTGTAGTCTTGACTGTAGTAGGTAAAATTTTATCAATAAATATTTCACAAAAGCTTATAAATTTTATAAACTAGGAGCACTAAATAATTGATGACCTGTGGAAAAATTTAATTCTTGTTTGTTTCCAAAATAATTTTCCCTTATAAAAGTCTTGCATGTCGTAATTTAAACAGTAGCTTTATACCTCTTTTATAATCAGTGATCATGAATGATGGACTCTCTTCTCTTCATTCTCTTATAGTCCTGAGCCTGGTAGTATACCAGTGGTGGTTACATTAGTAACTGAGAGAGGACAAGGTGATCAGACGCTATTGACTGGTGTCAGAGGTCAGCTGGACTCACTGAGGCAGCAGCTAAGAGTTGAGATATCTGTAGCAGCTGTCAGTAGATTTGGTAAGTCACTGAAAATGTTTTTGTGTAATCAGGTTTAGTATGCTATTTCATGTATATTAATGTCCAAATACTATGTAGAAAGTTAAGTTCATTCCGACAAACTTTTTAAAAGTTATGGACTATTTTAAAAATTAGCCAATTTTCAGAAAAGCACCACGGCTGTAGCCCATGCTTTTTTCCAAAAAATGGCTCTAAAATCAGCCCAAATTTTTATTAAATTTTCTAATACATATGGATGTTCTTATGCTGTGTAGCAAGTTTGAGCTAATTCCAACTTCAATTTTTTAAGTTACGACCATTTTAAAAAATGGGCCAAAATCTGAAAAAATCCCTGTACTATAGCCCATGGTTTTTCCAAAAAATGGCTTCGAAATGACCCCAAATTTTTATTACATTTTTTGATACATATTGATGTCCTAATACTGTGTAGAAAGTTTGAGCTAATTCCGACTTCAATTTTTCAAGTTACAGCCAATTTAAAAAATGGGCCAAAATCTTAAAAAATCCCTGTACTATAGCCCATGGTTTTTTCCAAAAAATGACTCCAAAATCACCTCCACTTTTTATTACATTTCCTGATACATATTGATGTCCTAATGCCGTGTAGAAAGTTTGAGCTAATTCCAACTTCAATTTTTTAAGTTACGACCATTTTAAAAAATGGGCCAAAATCTGAAAAAATCCCTGTACTATAGCCCATGGTTTTTCCAAAATTGGCTCCGAAATGACCCCCAAATTTTATTACATTTTCTGATACATATTGATGTCCTAATACCATGTAGAAAGTTTGAGCTAATTCCAACTTCAATTTTTTAAATTACGGCCATTTTAAAAAATAGGCCAAAATTTTTAAAAATCCCTGTACTATAGCCCATGGTTTTTTCCAAAAAATGACTCCAAAATCACCTCCACTTTTTATTACATTTCCTGATACATATTGATGTCCTAATGCTGTGTAGAAAGTTTGAGCTAATTCCGACTTCAATTTTTTAAGTTACGGCCATTTTAAAAAATGGGCCAAAATCTTTAAAAATCCCTGTACTATAGCCCATGGTTTTTTCCAAAAAATGACTCCAAAATCACCTCCACTTTTTATTACATTTTCTGATACATATTGATGTCCTTATGCTGTGTAGAAAGTTTGAGCTAGTTCCGACTTCAATTTTTTAGGTTAATGCTATTTTTGAAAAGTATAAAATTTTAGGAAAAAGCAAAGACTATATATGGGTCTGCATGGGTTTGTTCTATTGTCACAGATTTTTTGATGATAGAATTAATGAGTTTGTTGCCTGTCATGGATTTTGTGACAATTCTGATCATAATTTGTTAATTTCCTAAAAAATGCTCCAATATTCAATGCCTGATCACTTATTAATCTCATTGTATAGATGGTTGTCTATCAAACTCCACTATCATCCCCTCTCCATCTGGTGACCCTAGTCTCAGCCTAACAGTCAACTGGCCTGAGACTAACATTGGCGTATTATCAGTTGTCGATTGTCCCTGTGGGTCTAATGGTACTTCAGGTGGTGGTTCATTAAAAGCCACTCGATACTGTGGAGGGGATTTCACTGATGGAGCAATGTGGCTGGGACCTGATGTGAAGAGATGTAATTTCAGTGACTTAGCCAGGAGGATATGTCGTCTCTCAGATGTAAGTTGACACATACGGCAAATAGAAAGAACTTTCTATTCCCACCATTTAATAATAATAATTTTATTGCCACTTGGAGCATTGTGAATATTGTATACTATAAAGAGGACAATAGTGTATTTTATATAATTGTGTTTATTACAGTTACCTGTAAACGATAAAGTTGAAGAGCTTGAGACACTAACCAGTAACAGCAGCATGTTAGGATCAACTGAAATAGCTGCTAGCGTTAGCGTATTGGTAACTGCCACTGAAGAACTGGCTGGAAATTTAACAGTAATAATAATAATAATAATCTTGATAATAACAGAGCTTATTTATTGCGGTTTATTAGTTAACGATGACATTCCTTGAAGTTGTTGATAATATTATTGATGTCGATCAAGACATTTTACAGGAAAGTCAAGAATCATCTAATACTTCTGCAAGGTTAGTGCTATAGTATGATATTAATTGGATATTTCATTCAGTTTCCTCCTACCACAGGATACTGGAGGCCATAGACAGTGTGGTCGATAACATTCCAATTGCTAATGCTTCGGAACCTGTCATTATAGCACAAAAATCATTTGCCGTTTCAGTCCAAGAAGTCGATCCCGAGGCATTTAGCAGATCGGGTCAGACTTTTAGTGTTAACATTGCTGATTTCACTCAGAGAAATATCAGCTCTGGTGATCTCTCGTTTGAAAGTAACACAGTCTCTCCACCTACTGGAACCATTCAACTACCTAATAATCTATTCTCTTCGCTTCCTGAGAATATCAGTAGAATATCTCACGCTGTTTTTGTGACTGACTCACTCTTTCTGAGACGTAGTTTCAGCTATCAAAGGGTCAGTAGTGTCATCATATCAGCAAGTGTTGTTGGAGCTGGAACTATTAGAAATTTGAGGCCTCCTGTTAATCTTGGGTTTCAACTTAATCCAGTGAGAGATGAGATTGTTTTTTTATTAAATTTAATTTTTTGTGATTTAGAATGTGAATGGATCAATCCCACAGTGCACATTCTGGAATCAGTCGCTAGATGGTAAAAGCTAATACGTGTATGTATTTATGAATATCTGTTCCTCTTTTTCTCTCTCAAGATGGTTATGGTGACTGGTCTAGTGATGGCTGTAACACTTCGTCGGGTTCTACTGATTCACAAGTCACCTGTAACTGTGACCACTTGACAAATTTTGCTATATTACTGGTACGTACTCCATACACCTTGTTACATGTACGGCATCAATTGTGTACTGTAGGATGTATCTCCTCCTGAGGAACCTACTGAAAGAACAGCATTGACACTATTCCTTGACTCTGTGTCTTACATTGGGATCATAATCTCTATCATTTGTCTCATTATCACTATCATCTCTTATCTTCTTAGCAAGTAAGGAAACTAGATCATTCCAATCTCAAAGTTTACATTTAATAGGAAATACATGTAATCATGAACTCACTAATTGTTGCATAGTAAAAGCAATGACTTTGTTTCCCTTTTCTATTCATAGGAAGCTAAGGTCATCTGATCACGGTCAACTGCTCCTCAATCTTTGCTTTGCTTTGATGGGTCTCTATCTATCATTCATCGTTGCTTTACATAGTAAAAACACAAATGGCTTTTGTGCCTTCTCTGGTGCTGTCCTTCAATATTTCTTTCTTGTTACTTTTGCTATCATGGCAGCTGAGGCCATCAACCTGTACATTAATCTTGTGATAGTTCTAGGACGTAAAATACAGTCCTTCGCACTCAAAGTGACGATAGTCTCCTGGGGTAAGATAGCTCAATTTTAATAAAAATTAATACAAAATGCTCTTTTTATTTTTTACAGTCGCTCCAGTTTTTATTGTTCTTTTATGCTTTTCTCCCGACTACAGGAATTACATCAGTAGCCCTCCAAACTTGTAAGCACCTGACCATTTTTATTTTAAATATTACTTTTAAACATTTTTAGCTGTCGCGCTTTCAAAGCCCCATTCTACATTGGTGTGGTTGTTCCCTTTAGCATCATATACATATTCAATTGGATCGTTTTCGTCATCATCATTGTCTCTCTGCTCCGTAAGAACTTTTCGTCGAAACTGAAGGAACTCAAAAAGGCCAAGAAAGACAAATCGAAGTCTTTCTTCAAACAGCAACTGATCATAGCCATCACACTATCCATTCTCTTCGGGCTAGGCTGGGGACTTGGGCTGCTAGTAACTCAAGAGATTTACTCTAATAAAACCGTACGTGATCTTTTTGCTGCTCTCTTCGTCCTCCTGACTGCATTCCATGGTTTCTTTATCTTCATAATGCATTGCTTGCGCTCTAAAGATGTTCGGAAGGTCTGGAAAAAAGCCTTCTTTGGTGTCACTGGGAGAGATTTTACTGAATTCTCTTCGTCAACATTTAATCGTGTCCGTGGCAAATCCTCAGGCGGTGCCAGCACTGCCACAAGGTCTCCTCATCGTAAGGTTTCAACTGAGAAGAGCCCGAGTTTTTCGTTTTCTGATGGGAAGAGTTTTTTCAAGAGAGGAGTGACACTGCAGGAGTATTCTAAGAAGAAAGAGGCAGAGGATGAAGAAATAAAAGAAATAGAAGAGACAGGAGTGATGGCAGTAGAGAATGACTATGTTGCAGTAGATAATAATGCCTATGCTGCTATTGAAGACACTGATTTTGACTTTGAGAAAGATGGCCAGGGAACTTTAAAGTTTTACACAAAAAAGGACCAAGACCACGAAGCCCAATTTGAGTCCCTTAATGATGGAAAGGATTCTAAAAAGGCGAAAAAGGAAGATGGCCCACCATCAAAAGAAGGAACCGAGCTTGAGCTTCGTATCAATGTCTCCAGTGAAGTAAAGGAAGAAGAACCCAAAGTGGCTACTGCTGTTAAATCCTTCCCAGATGATGATGAAGATGAGAAGGGAAAGCTGAGAGAGGAAGAGGAGAGAGCATATGATGCCTACCACAGTAAGCATGAGAGCAATGCTTAGGATTGATGAACTTTATTATCATTTATATTTGTGTGAACTTATGTACGCACTCAATGCATACCTTGAGCTTTTATTATATTTTTAAGAAATTATGACGATTTTTGTATTTTGTCTTTTTTGTGAAGAATATTTTTAGTATGAGAACTAATGTACTCAGTAATTAAATTAGTGGTCAGACTTGTTTACAAATATGTGTATGATACATTAGATTTACAGCTTTGACTAGTCTGACCTGTCTCATTAATTAGTATTGGACATATCCTTTACAATTTCATGTGTATAGTATATCTAGAACTACATGTAGTTATAGTAGCTTTTCTAGGAAGTCTAGTACCACAAAATTCCCCCTTGTTCCATGTACATTTATGGTTGTATGGCATGATGGATTGATTGTATTAGTACATGTAGTTTTTATATACTTTGACAAATACCAGTTTAAGTTCATTATTTAAATTTCTGCATTATTGAATCTCAATGTCTGCAAACAGCCTACACTCCCTCAATGATAATAATATTTATTTAAAAGAGCTATTCTAGTGCTTGTGTTCTCAGAAAATCCAATTACATTCAACCTACTAAGTCCAATTACTTGTTCCCTTTTCTATTTCCTTTATTATACTACTCTTCATTACTATTTCCTGCTTCCTTGATTGCATTACTCTCTGCCAATATAAAGACTTGTACTATTACTGCTGCTGGCTGCCAACTGCGTAAGTTCATTGTTTCCTGGCTCTCTATTACTTCATCAGTTGTCTCTTCTTTTAAAGCTCCTACCTAACACAAAGGAGCTCTGGAAACTCTACTTTGTGTATCTAATCAGTGATGCCTCTACTAGCAAACATACTGCTTCTCTTCTCTCCATTGCTACTGGCAGCCACTGTAGAGAGCTCTTGCTCTACCTGCATTGACTACACTAGGACCCCTGAAACTAATGGAAGCTCTGTTGTAGAGACAGTCATTCGTCTCATTCAACATTCAGGAATATTCCCCGACGACTACGGAGCCTTGCAAAGGATCGCCTGGCTTGAGACTCAGTATGGGCAAAACCAGCTCACATACAGGCCACAGCATCATGGTGGAATATGGAACATCAACCAGACTGGTTTTAATGCCCTAGATGTCAGTAGCCAACACTTGGCAATGATACAAAGTGAATTTTGCTTCAATTGGGCTGAAGTGGTATGGACTGATCTAAGGAAGCCACTTTATTCTGCTCTAGCAGCAAGACTTCTCATTAACCAGTCACCTTCTGGTGGGATTATCTCTCAAGATCCTTCCTCTCAGGCTCAAATGTGGTTAGATATGTATACAAGCATGGATAGGAGTAGGACTCAGGATAATTATGTGGATATTGCTATGCAGCATAACAGCACATCAAACAAAGGTTAGTCTGTGTAAGCTTTGTGGTTTAACGCTTCATTGAATATATCTTCATTCTTATAGTTAATATATCCAACGTCAATATTGACACTCCAACTGTATTCTCTCTCTGCACTAATGAGTCTGTGTACTTCTCCTACAACATATCCACAGACGTTCCTCTCATAAAAGTTTCCCTCATGAGCAATGGCTCTGCTTCCCTTTATATATCAAATGCAGGACCACCCTCCGAGTCTTTTTATTGTGCGAAAATTGAGGAGACATCGTCGACTGGTTATGTGTACGTATCTGTGGACCAATTGAGTTCTTGTGGATCGGAGGAAATGCTGTTCATTAGTGTGGTCGGGAGGGAAGAGTCTGGTGGTATGACAGCTGCTTCCTTAATCCTGAGTAATGCAAATGATTCCTATGAATGTGAGTGACTAACTTAATTAGACACTACAGCAACAAACACGAATAAGCATTTACATATAGACACATAGATAATTATTAGCATGCATTCCATTGCTTGGGTTTCCAAGAAGCTAGGTTAACTTTGTTAGGAATTGTGTGTTTTTATATGTACACGTGCATGACTATAAAGAAACACCTTAAGAGATGGTAAACTGTTTGTGTGTGTACTGTTGTGCTGCACGTATTGAAAGTTGCCATCTTGTTGTTTGTTCCAACCCGCCTTTCCTTGTTGCCAATAGATTAAAAGATAATAGTACGGGTCAACAGCTTCCAATATTCCTGGTAGTAAGAGAGAGTAGAGGTTAATTTGCTTGTAATATTTCCGTCGATCTCCTTGAATTCCATATAGTACTACTAGTAAATGCCTTTATAATTGAGTAATTGTTTGTTCCCTTATATGGTTCGATGCTTTAATTCTTTCTCTTTTGTTACTCATGACAGTTATTCAAAACACCGGCAGTGATTCCGACTGGTTTGCGGTCGGAATGTACAGCAACCATCCAGACGTAGGCTCAATACCAATCTCAATCTTTGTCACGTCGGATTCAGACTCAGCTTTCAATATTTCCATAGAGTCTTACGAAGGTGTTATATTGTCCGGCGAAGTTAAACCATATGAGACGTCAGAGTTTTTTATACCGGAGACGTACATGGTGTCAAATGAAAGTGACTTTATGAATGGACTGATAGTTAGAGCTGATACTGGGAACAAGATGAGAGTATCTGTCAGTAACCATTATTACATATCCAGTGACTCTTACTTAGCTCTTCCCCTCATCCAATACCAGGGAGTGACCGAGTATACTTATTTTGCCGTTACGCCAAATTTCACTTCTCCAAACCTAACAAGTCGAGTTCTCATTGTATGCGGTTTCAATGATACTTCAATTACAATAACATCTACTCAAACTGCTTACATGTATTTACCATCTGGCGTTGTTACACTTCAGCCTTCAACCTCTATGGAGATTTCAGGAAACATTTATCAGACGATACTTATTGAAAGTGAAGATCAGCTAATGGGAACAAAGGTGGTCACAAATAAACCAGTAACTTTCCTTTCAGGGCACCAATGTGCTTCACTTCCTGACAATATATCTTGCGATTTCGCTATAGAGCAGATACCACCGACCATCAATTGGGGAAGGAATTTTATTTTCCCACTTCTCTCGTCTCGAGTTGGCGGATCCTACCTTTCCATACTTGCCTCAGAGTCTGACACTACAGTTGACGTATCTTGTACTAACTCTAATAACAACAGCACTCTTTCTGACTCATTCACCATTTCATCTTCAGGGGATTACGCTACAATGCTGGTTGCCCCTGATGATGCTTTATGCAGTGTTATATCAAGCAAGCCCACACTTCTTACAGTCCTTAGTACCAGCAATAACTATGATACTACTGAAGGTGACCCGCTGATGGTTCTAGTGCAACCTGTAGAGCAGTATGTGAATGTCAATCATTCTTTCACTGCTTTTAAAAGTGACATTGATAATCATTACCTTAATCTGATGGTAAAAGCAAGCGATAGTGATAATAATATTCAACTCAATGATGAAACTATTAGTAGTAGCAATTGGAAGAGTATCAATACCACTGGAGGAGTAAGAGCTGGTTATGTGACCCAACTAAATGTAGCTAACACTACTCACTTGGTTTCTCTGGGGTCGGCCAGCTCTGGCAGAGACGTTAGGGTTGGTGGGATGATGTACGGGTTCGCCTGCTCTGTCGGCTATGGACAACTCATTGCTACAAACTTGTATCTCATTCACGAAAGTAAGTAAATCTATATAGTACGTTAGGCCTGCAATGCTTCTCAAGTTTCTGTGTGCATAATTCCATAGTAATTGGAATAGCACATTGTCATGTACCTGCTATTGACGAGTGGTGGGAGTATGAGGAATGTATGTTTTTAAAGCCACTGACATGAAAGTATCTACTACGCTTTGTCTGGTTATAAACAAGCTTGGCAGTCTTGAGCGAGAAAGAAGATGTCGTAGTACAACAGAGACTGTCATCATCATCACTCTTTTCATATTCATTATATTTATATTTATTATTTATACTTGTTTATATTGTAGCTACCAACAGACTGTCTGCTACCATAACGATGCCATCACAAGAGCAACGCAAAATTGGCAACAATGTTAAACTAACATGCAACACTTCAGGACTACCTGTATATGCACTACATTGGAAGAAAGAAGGCTCACGTGTATATCCTTCTTGCAAGTACTCTATTTCCAGCAACAGTCCTGGGTCAAGTGTTCTTACTATATTCAATGCTAATGAGACTGATGAAGATGTGTATGAGTGTGTGGCTCATAGCTATTATAGTGATCCTGTGACTGCTACCAGCCAAACTTTGAGTGAGTTAGGCTATATGATCCTTACACTGTTCATAATAGTAATAATAATGATAATGAAAATAATAATAATAATAATAATAATTATGATACTAATAATAATGATAATAATGATAATAATAGATAATAATAAAAATAATAATAATAATGCTAATTATTTATGTATAATCATGAATATAAAATAGTCTTTATTATTCATTTTTTTCTCTTTTATTTAGGTTTGGACAGCCCTTCAAAAGGTGTGTACTGTGTACTGTAAATATTATCCTTTTAATAATTGCTAACTATTTAGATGGCATACTACTCATTCTTACATTCCCTTGTATTTATAGGTCACTATTCCATCCCAACCGTCACACCAACAGTAATGTCAACATGGGCTTATAAAGATGTGAATCAATCTCTATCCTTCAACATCACCAATGCTGTACCTCCAGTCACTAGTAGCCACTTGTGGTGGCATTTCAGTCCATTGGAAGGAAAAGGAAAATATTTGGACCCCAACGCTACTTCGAAGTATATCTTTAGCAGCGATCATTTGCGTATTGACATCATTGGAGCTCAGTTAAATAATAGTGGGAATTACACTTTGATAGTAAGGAATGAAGCTGGTCTTGTCAATAGCACCATAACCTTCAATGTTTATAGTAAGTGTATAGCGATTTCATTAAGCTTTTATGTCAGCCTATTTTTCTACTTTTAACTCTCTCGTTTCCTTTTAAACAGTTGCTCCAACTATTATTAGTCATTCAATACCAGGGGATGTGCCTAGAAATGCTAGTGCACATGTTACATTCAATTGTACTGCTGATGGGTATCCAAGGCCTAACATTGCATGGACAAAAGACAATGTAGCAGTTTCTAGTAGCAATCCAAGAATCACAATATCTGCTATGGAAATAAATTCAACGTCAGAGAGGCAGCAAACAAAAAGCAGTCTCACCATTAGGGATCTCACTGAAGATGACAGTGGGAATTATCTGTGCAGGGCAAGTAGTCTTGAAGTTCCCCGGGAAGCTGTGCTGGATACCCCGTTTCACCTCAACGTAAAAAGTAAGTTTGTGATGACAGCTATTTTACCAACAAGCTTGTTCTAATCATGTGTCATCACTTTTATTATGTTTTATTTTGTATTTTAGTAATTAATCAGACTGACCACTGTGCTAATAATCCTTGCAAAAATGGCGGTACCTGTTTCAGCAAGCAAAGCACTTTCAGCTGCATATGTGATGAAGGATACGCTGGAAATGAGTGCCAAAATAGTAAGAGACTGAGCGATGGATGGGAAGAGAGAAAGAGAGAGAGAGAGATTGAAAAATTAATTCATTACAACATGTATTGCTAAAATTTTCAATGTTATTTAAAAATTTAAATCCTGATTAAAAATTTAATTTATTTTATTCACAGTGCTGATAGTTTACAAGGCCCCAGAAATCACCGAGAAACCACAGGGTGTTGTAGGCGAATACTTTTCACCAGTTAACTTGACCTGTAAAGCCACTGGCTCTCCCAAACCTGCCATACTTTGGTATAAGGATGGCGTTGAATTAAACAATACCAATGATGATAGTTCAGTTTTGAAAATACCTGAGTTGAGACTTGATAACAGAGGATATTACCATTGTGTCGCAAAAGTCATTTATAACGGAGAAAAGATTGATACATCTGAAAAAGTTCTTATTAACATTAGAGGTAATTATAATCTTGTATATTGTAGTTAATTTGAATTCTCTTCTTGATGACATTCCCAGTACTATAGTACAGCATCTTAAGCCCCAGTTTTGAAGCAACTAGAAAATTCTAAAAAGTCCAATTTTGATTGCAATCAGCTAAAGCTACATAGCATATGTGTATGCATAAAAAAATCCGATAAGAATTAGGAGCATAATTTATCCAAATACTATTAGACCCTCTACTATGTTATGATTTGATTATAATTTCAATGCACCAATGGGTGTATATTTCCTACAGGTATAGTGCAGTATGAAGCAATAATACTCGCACCAGTTAATGACAATTCTCAATCTGTTGAGCAAAAGGTAAATAATCATGCAATTATTATGATGATGATCTTAATCGCTATTTATTTTATAGGTAAGAAATTCTCTTCACAATGACAAGTTTGATGGCAACACCGAAGTATTACTAGTAAAAGTCAAGAGACAGAAGTGAGTGTGTGGTGATATAGTATGTTCACAATAAATTTTAAAAATCTTAAATAATGCTTTTAATCTGTACAAGTGAATAATATTATGATACTTAATTCATGTATCTACTAGTGTTGTTTTAATTAACTATAACTAAAACTAAAACCACTTTTAGTTAGGCATATTTACTTTTAGTTAACTAACTATAACTAACTGAAAGACATTTATAAAACACAGAACTAACTATAACTAACTAAAACAATTCACAGATTTTAAAAACTAACTATAACTAACTAAAAGTAATTCAGAAATGTCATAACTAACTATAACTAACTAAAAGTGCAAAATGTGATATAAAAACAACACTAGTATCTACTATATTCTACTTTATTATTTTCTATCTCTCTCCTTTACATGTAGTTCAAGGAGGAAAAGATCTACTTCTCGTCATGACATTATAATTACACTACGAACTGACATGAAACCAAGTGATTCCCTAAGGAAATCTATCGAGGATCAAATCAATGCTGCTAGCTCTAGTTCTGGCATTAGCTCTCAACAGATTGATAGATTTGGTAAAAATGAGTTTTTGTATGCATCATAGTTAAGCAATTGAGTGTATGAATACATGCATAGACTATATACACATGTGTATTATATAAATCACATTAATGTAATGATATTAAGTGCTATGAGTCCTCGTTAGTAATTTTTAACCTTATTTACTTCTCTTATCCACACTCAAGATGGCTGTAAATCTGATGTCACTAGGATTCCTCCTCATACAAACAGAACTGATATTAACGTGACCATTGAATGGGAAGAGTCCAACCTCGGGGAAGACGTGAGAGTCCGTTGTCCTTGTGGTGGGCTGAATGCCTCTAGTCTCATGGCCACGAGGTCCTGTCGAGGGGATTTTAATAATGGGGGGATGTGGGAGGAGGCTTATGTTACACCTTGTAACTTTAGTGATTTTGCTCGTGAGATTTGTGACTTAACAGAAGTAAGTGTAACAATAATTTACAAATTGGAAAAAATGATAAAAAATAATTACAAAAAATAATAAAAATAATTACAAAAAATAATAAAAATAATTACAGAAAATAATAAAAATAATTACAAAAAATAATAAAAATAATTACAAAAAAATTATTATTATTATTATTATATAAAAGGTAACTTGTCAGTGATTAAAAATTTTAACAATAGTATGCTCAATTGTAGAGTGCTGTAGTTAATGCATTAGAATTATAAATATACTAAAATATACTAAAAATACTTGTAAATTTGTGTGAGTTAGATTTCTCTCTCTCTCTTTCTATCTCAGCGTCCAGTACCTGAGAGAGTGGAGGGTTTAAATAACCTCACAAGTGATGAATCATTTAATCTTGATAGCACTGATGTTGCCGTGGTCACACTTGTGCTTCTTACAACAACAAACGATGTTAAAGGAGATGAAAAGGTGAGATGGTAGCTCCAGCAGTGAAGCTTATTTAATAGTTTTTTAAAAATTATTTATAGCTAACAAGATCTTACTTGGAGGTTGTTGATAATATCATTGCAATTGAACCTGTCGTTTTGAAAGAGAGTCAAAATGTCTCAAATACTTCATCAAGGTATGCCAAAGTGCACATAAATGTATGTAATGTCTAGAAGAAGAGTTTCTCTCAAAATTTCAGCATGATGCCTATTTTTGTCAGCAAATGGGATTTTGGCTAAATTTCACCAAAATTAAAAAGGGGAGAATTCTCCATTTTTTGCTACATATACATTTACATATGCTGTGTAGAAAGTTTGAAGTGATTCCGCCTTCAATTTTTAAAGTTATGGTTATTTTAAAAATTCCAAAATTCTGAAAAATACCCTGTACTATAGTCCATGGTTTTTTCCGAAAAATGGCTCCAAAATCACCCCAAATTTTTATTACATTTTCTGATACATATTGATGTCCTTATGCTGTGTAGCAAGTCTCAGCTGATTCCGACTTCAATTTTTTGAGTTACGGCCATTTAAAAAAAACCCCAAAATTCTGAAAAATACCCAAGGCTATAGTCCATGGTTTTTTCCGAAAAATGGCTCCAAAATCACCCCAAATTTTTATTACATTTTCTGATACATATTGATGTTCTTATGCTGTGTAGAAAGTTTGAGATGATTCCAACTTTAATTTTTTGAGTTACAGACATTTTAAGAATAAGCTAAAATTCTGGAAATTACCCAAGGCATAGCTCATGGTTTTTTTCAAAAAATGGCTCCTACATTTTTTGATATATATTGATGTCCTTATGCTGTGTAGAAAGTTTGAGCTGATTCCGACTTCAATTTTTCAAGTTATGGCCATTTTAAAAAATGGGCCAAAATCTGAGAAAATCCCTGTACTATAGCCCATGGTTTTTTCAAAATTAATGGCTCCAAAATTATCCCTAATTTTTATTACATTTTTGAAACCTATTGATGTCCTTATGCTGTGTAAAAATGTGAATTAATTGTGATCAAAATTGAATTTTTGTGAATCTTTCTCAAAAATTGGGCCAAAACCCCTGTACTATATGGTATAGAGCCTAAGGCCAAATTTAATCAAAATCAAAAAGGAGGAAGTTCTCCTTTTCAATTTATTTAGCTCATTTCTTGGAATATTTAATCAGAAGGCATTTTCTGTACAAATATGCATAAAAACATTTATGTACTTATAATTTTATTAATTTTTTCACAGGATACTCAATACCATTGATGACATACTATCAGAGTTACCAGTAACTAGCATCAATGAGCCGGTAATCATCACATTTGACAGACTTGCTGCTTCAACCATCAAAGTTGATGCAACAAATTTCGAGGGACTTGTTTTTGCCTCTGATGTCAATAGCAGCAACATTGGCGATCCCCAATACGGCTCCAGTGACAATGTAACAACTAGTGGAGCTGTCAGCATAACGCTGCCTGAAAGCCTCCTTGATAATGTGAACACTACAGGCACTATACAGGTCATCAATAAGGTTTTCATTGATGATATACTCTTCCTGAGGAGAGACAACAAGTCTTTAGATGTCAACAGTGCAATAGTATCTGCTGCTATAGTTGATACACCAATACGGGGACTGGAGAACTCCATTAATATATCATTTCCAATGGGAAAGGTAATTTTAGACCATTTTATTGAAGCCAAAAGTGAAGAAGTGTATAGTTTTAATGAGCCAAGAGCTAGTTAGTGTTAAGTCTTTTACAAATGACATAATTTAGTGCTTTCTTTATTGTTATTTTATTCTTGTTTTTTATACAACTAAGATTGCTAGCTTATTACTGATACAATTAATACATTTTGTCCATTTTAGGGTAACATCAGTAAGCAGTCTTGTGCTTTCTGGAATTTCTCACTAGATGGTTAGTGCTAGTAATCACTATGCTCATAACTGTACTGGTACTTATACTGTAGGTGGATATGGTGATTGGTCTTCTGAAGGATGCACTTTAGTTGTTGTTGATGATAATAGCGTCTGTCTCTGTGACCATCTAACTAACTTTGCACTTTTGCTGGTATGCTGCACTTCCATACTAGAATATTATTCATAATATCATTATAATCCTTCTTTATTTTTTAATCTCTCTTCTTTCTCCTTTACACAGGATGTTTCAGAGGGAGAGAATATTCCTGAAGGCAATCGTCCAATTGACCTCTTCCTTGAAGCAGTGACATACATTGGCATCATAATATCAATAGTTTGCATTCTCCTCACACTCTTCACATACATAGTGGCAAAGTAATTTAAAAATGTGTTCTTACTAGCTCTTTATTGAATGAATACTTTGGATTATTTCTATAGAAAACTGAGGAAGAGAAGCTCAGGGCAATTAATCATCAACCTATGCTTGGCTCTATTGTTCCTTTACTTGTCGTTCATTCTGGCTATACACAGTCGGAAGAATGAAGCCCTCTGTGCAATCAGTGCCTTGATCCTGCAGTACTTCTTTCTTGTTACCTTTCTTGCTATGGGCTGTGAGTCTGTGATACTGTACAGGGAGCTGGTCATCATTGTAGGAGAAAGAAAATATGGTGTTGCATTGAAGGCTGCTCTTGTGTGCTGGAGTAAGTATATATTATACATTATTCTAAAATTTGATATGCTTTTAAAAATTCTTCTAGTTCTGCCATTGCTTATTGTTGGATTCTGTTTTGCTCCAAACTACAATCATTACATCCACAAAGCATTGTAAGTCTTTAACCATGCATCATGAATTACCTTCACTTTTTCTTCTCCTCTCTCTCTTTCTTTTTCTAGCTGCCGAGCTTTTGATATCCCATTTTACATTGGCACAGTTGCTCCCTTCATCCTCATATACATATTCAATTCCGTCGTCTTTACAATCATCATCATCTCTTTGCTAAAGAGAGGACAATCATCAGCTACTAAGCTCCCAGGATACGTGTATGTGAAGCAGCAGCTCGGTGTTGCAATATCGCTCTCAGTTCTCTTTGGCATCACATGGGGACTTGGACTGTTCGCCTCTAACTCCATATACAAAGGAAATGAGAGGCATGTCAGGGATGCCTTTGCTGCACTTTTTGTCATACTGACGACATTTCATGGCTTGGGTCTCTTCGTAATGCACTGTGTCCGCCCGGCTAAAGTCAGAGAAGAAGTCAAAGCTATCTTTCTCGATCGGAATAAGACGACCACAAGAACCTCCGGAACCGGGGGTATCCAAAAGGAGAGAATGACTGCAGCTTCAAAGAATGCCGCCTATACAGCAGCAACCATTGACAAGAGGAGCTCTTATTCTATGCATCCAACTGACAGTATAAGAGATTCCACTGCATCTTTAAAGAAGGATGGACATGACTCCTTTGCCATCGCTAACTCTTTTGCCACTCATGAAGAAGAAACTGGATTCACTGCTAATCCTAATTTTGTGGCCATAGAGGATTCTCCCGAGTTGACTCCAGTTAAGAAGTTTCAGGATAAGAAATTTGAGACAAAGGAAGATAGCAACAGTAGCTCAGGAAGCTATGCTTCTAATGATAATGATCCTATAGTGACTGTGAATGGGACTCCAGTTGAACAATGAATGGAATCATAACTGAACTTTGCATGTGTACTAGTAATGTCTAAACCTCTCCTCTCAGCAGTTTTGTATTAATTGTGTATTTTTATATCTTTATGCAATCCATTAGGGATTCATTGTAGCTTGTCGTTTTTATAATAATTTTTATTAGAAAAAATAATTAATAGATCAAAATAGTTCAATAATCTAAACACTTCCACCCACTCTCTATTAACAATGGCGTCTTTTTGAAGGTAGGGCCAAATTCCCTTTGCAAAATCATTGCCTTTTATTCAAATCTTAGGGTTATGCATGACGGAGTAACTATTGGACAATATGATCTCGGCTTTTAAGTGGATCCCCTCCATTACTCGAAGTGTAGTAACAATAGCTGTTAGAAGATACACTAGAACTCAATTATTTGAATATAAAAGATGTAGCAGTTATACTTTATCATCCTCCTCCAACCTCTTTTCTTACTCTCGTCACCTCTCGACTCTCAGGGACTCTGCTAAGAAACCCAAAGCAGTTATATTTGACATAGGAGGTGTCGTTATCCCCTCCCCTTTTCCTCTCATTGAGCGATTTGAGAGGAACCACCGGCTACCGATAGGATCCATAAATGCAACAATTAAACATTACGGACACGATGGGGCATTCAAAAAATTGGAGAGAGGGGAGATCACACTTGAGGGATTCTGTGTACCCTTTTCTACCGAGTACTCCGAATTTAATAGTATTATGTTATCCCCGGAAAAGGTATGGGGGCTGGCACGGGGTCTAGGTGGGCTTGACGTTACCTTGAAACCTTTTAAAGAAGTCGTTGGCTTGATGAGTCAGTTGAAGAAGGCCGGGATCAAGGTGGCCATTATAACTAATAATTTCAAATTTGACGACGGGAAAACTGTCCTACCGACTGAGAAATTAGAAGACGTTGATGTTGTACGTTTAAAATATGGTGATTCATTTTTGATGGAATCTTTTCTTTCTTTTCTCTCTCCCCCTTCTCTCCCTCTCTCTCTCCCAGTTTATTCAGTCTTGCATTGAAGGGATAAGTAAACCAGATCCCCTTATATATGAGAGGGCATTAGAGATGTTAGGGACGAAGGGAGAGGAGACTGTCTTTCTTGATGACATAGGTAGCAATCTCAAAGCAGCTGCTAATTTAGGTATCACGACCATCAAGGTACTTAGCTAAAAGAGTGAATGTTCTTTACTTCCAATTATGCTGCATACAGTAAATTTTTATGACAACGTTATCATGCATTTTTTCAATTTTAGGTTGACGATGTTGGTAAAGCTATTAGAGAAGTAGAGGACATTGTGTTTGATACCAGTGCACCTAAAGGTAAGGCAAACCTCTTCAGACATTTGTACACTCCAATCTGGTTTGAACTGGTTTAAAGTTAATGTACAAAATGAGCATCAAGTGTAGAATGGATCTTTCTCATCTCCCCTCTCTCTTTTCTCTAGGTACTTCAGTTCCAAGTCCTAAGCTTCAGTTACCGATTGAGTCCCTCACTCGTTACCTTCAAGAAACTCACGGTCTTTCCCAGGAAGGTCCTCCATTGATAAGGTCGTTTGATCACGGGCAGTCTAATCCGACGTATTACATTGAGTGTGGTGGATCAAAACTTGTACTAAGGAAAAAACCAGTAAGTGTATGTACATGTACATGTACTGTAATGCTAAGTAAGCATTGTACTGTCTCTACTGCTGTGTTGCTTTATATTATTATGAAGCTTTTGTTGTACTTTAGCCTGGAAAGTTGCTACCTTCAGCACATGCAGTGGAAAGAGAATACAGGTAAGGAGAGAAATGGGAGTGCTTAGCATTGTGCTTGAATATTGTATGACTATTATAATGACAGTAATTATGATTATTATGATGTAATGTCTTTTTGTCTTTATTTTTAAAATTTTATTTTTAGGGTTATGAAAGCTGTGAAAGATTACAACGTCCCAGTACCAAATTTGCTGTCATTATGTGAAGATGAAAGGTAGTCCTCTCTCTCTCTCTTTCTTCTCTCCTTTAATCTTTCCTCTCTTCTCCCCAGTATTGTCGGGACTCCATTTTATCTAATGGAATACGTTGAGGGTAGGATATTCAAAGATGCTTCGCTGCCTTCTTTAAAACCTGACGAAAGAAACGTAATCATTCCCGTTTATAGTAAATTTAATTGTATTAGTCAATTTTAGGGGATTTATTCAAGAATGTGCGAGGCATTGGCTTCAATACATAACGTCAGCATAGAAAAGGCTAACCTTTACGACTATGGAAAACAAGGTTTATGTGTATTGAATATATTTTTTCTATTATGTTATTTACCTCTCTCTCTCTTTCTTTCTCTCTCAGGTAATTACGTGCGTAGACAAATCGATCGCTGGTCAAAACAATATCGCTCAAGCATGACCCACGAGATACCAGCAATGGAAGAGCTGTTGCCGTGGTTACAGTCTAACACCCCCGAGAGTGACACAACCACAATTGTTCACGGAGACTTTCGGTGAAAACTTTAAATTATTTATGCGATAATATTTTTCTTTGTTAGGTTGGATAACTTGATATTTTCGGCAGATTCTAGTTCAGTTCTCGGAGTGTTGGATTGGGAGTTGTCTACATTAGGAGATCCTTTATCTGATTTAGCTAATGCTTGCTTGGCTTATCACAGGCCACATGATAATCCTCTTTTTGTTGGTGAGAGAATAAGAATAAAAATAATAGTAACAATACTAAGTAATAATAATAATAATAGCGAGAATAATAAGGATAACAGAAGATAAGAAAACTATTACATATTGTATCACTATTTTAGTTATGTTGTTCTTATTATTATTGTTGTTGTTGTTATTGTTATTATTATTGTTGTTGTTATTGTTGTTATTATTATTATTATTATTTCAGGATTATCTGGTCTTAATCTTTCATCGCTGGGTATTCCGAGTGAGGAAGAGTTTTTAGCTCAATATTGTGAACTGAGAGGAATGTCTTCGATACCAAACTGGTCCTTTTATATGGCATTCACTTTCTTTCGGGTGGCGGCCATTTTACAAGGAGTTTACAAGAGATCATTAACTAGTAAATTAAAATAACAAATATCAAAGATCCACTTTTAATTCAATTTTAGCGTTTTTAATAATTTTAACATTATATAATGAAAGTAGCGCTAACTTATAACTCTAGAAGCACAGTAGTCTTAAATGGCCGCCATGACTTTTGCAGCCTTTTATATTGATGTACATGTACATGTATGTTACAATCTTATTTCTTTAGATCAGTCAAGTGCTGCCAATTCTAAACAAGTTGGTCTAATGGCCGAGAGTTTTGCTGAACAAGGATGGTCCATAGCTTGTGGGGGTAGGGGATCTGGTACAAGCCACTCCCCTTTTAGTGGGCGTCGGTCTTTTTCAACACACTCCTCTTCAGCAGCTACGACAGGTTGGTTACTAATTAATAACTAGCCACACCTACTCTTTCTTTAGATCTACTGGTGAGTAATGTGTCTGGTTTTCCGTCTCATCTCCAAACGCTAAGAGAGAAACTTTTAGATTTTATGGAGACTGAATTTTATCCTAACGAGAGGGTTCTTCAAGAGCACCAGAGTTCTGCCAGCAGGTGGAAACCACATCCTCTAATTGACAAACTCAAAGTGTGTGGAACATATATTAAAGTTGGACCAAAGTCCCTGTACTATAATAGATCTAGTACAGGCAAATTTTGTTAAAATTGAAAAGGAGAGAATTTCCATTTTTATAATTTTATCTGATGCATATACATGTTCTTATGTTGTGTAAAAAGTTTGAACTGATTCCGATAAAATTTAGATTTTTTATGATTTTTTAAAGTTGCTCCAAAATTGAGTAAAAGTCCCTGTACTATAGCACATGGTCTCGGGCCAAATTTCACCAAAAATGAAAAGGAGAGAATTCTTCATTTTAATAATATTTTCTGATGCATATACATGTACTTATGTTGTGTAGAAAGTTTGAACTGATTCCGATCAAAATTAGATTTTTTGCGAATTTTTAAAGTTGCTCCAAAATCGGGCCAAAGTCCCTGTACTATAGTACATGGTCTCGGGCCAAAATTTTGCCAAATTTGACTTAAAGAAAAGTTTTTATTTTTATAATTTTTTCCGATGCATATACATGTTCTTATGTTGTGTAGAAAGTTTGAACTGATTCTAATCAAAATTGGATTTTTTACGAATATTTAAAGTTGCTCAAAATTAAAGTCTATGTACTATTATAGAACAATACAGTGTATTTCATGCCAAAAAAATTTTCTATATCATCATTATTATTATTACTACTCTAAAGTTATAAATGTACTATTATTTTCAGGATAAAGCAAGGCGTATTGGTCTGTGGAATTTGTTTTTGCCAATTGAGACTGATCCCAACTGCTTGTATGGGAGAGGACTGACTAACCTTGAATATGCTCACCTAGCAGAAATAATGGGACAATCTATATTTGCCTCTGAAGTAAAGAGAGAGAGAGAGAGGGAGGGGAGGGAGGGAGAGAGAGAACTATTTAATGTTGGATGTATATATTATTTTTTCTGTGCAGGTTTTCAACTGCAGTCCACCCGATACCGGCAATATGGAAGTACTGGTACGGTATGGAACAGAAGAGCAAAAAGTAACAATTAATTATCATTTCCTTCATTCATCTGAAGTAGCATGTCGCAATTAGAAGCCTGGGGGCATACGTTAATGAAAGACACATAGCCCTTTTTAAAGCATGGGAAATCCCTTGAATTGAAGCCTATGTGAAAATAATAGAAGCCCTGGGTTTTTACATGTACATGATGTATACATGTACATGACATGTATGAGGATATAAATATTATCTTTATTTTATTGTTTTTTTAGTCTCACTGGTTGCTTCCATTACTAAATGGAGACATTAGATCTTGTTTTGCAATGACCGAACCAAATGTTAGTTTAATACCTAAGTATTATTATTATTATCATTATTATTATTGTTGTTGTTGTTGTTTTTGTTGTTGATTCTTTGCTCATCTTATGTAGGTGGCTTCATCTGATGCCACTAATATCCAGTCGTCCATTGTCTGTGACGGTGATCATTATGTTTTAAACGGACACAAGTGGTGGATATCTGGAGCAATGGACCCTCGCTGTGCCATTTGTATATTCATGGGCAAGACGGATCCACAGGGACTGAAACACAAGCAACAGGTAGCAATACATGTTCTAGTATACTCCAGTATATTCTTGTACACTTCAGTATATTCTAGTATATTTTGGTATATTTATAGTCGATGGTTTTGGTTCCCATGGATACTCCAGGTGTACATGTGTTGCGTCCGCTTACCGTATTTGGATATGATGACGCTCCTTCTGGTCATGCTGAGATCATTTTTGAAAATGTTCGAGTTCCGAGAGAAAATTTGCTCCTTGGAGAAGGGCGTGGCTTTGAAATTGCTCAGGTAAGCAGTAATATTTATGATTTTTGTAATTTTAAATCATTGTTTTATTTTTTAAGGGAAGATTAGGCCCTGGAAGGATCCATCATTGTATGAGGTTGATTGGATTAGCTGAACGATCGTTAGAACTAATGAATAAAAGAGTATGGAAAGAGAGAGAGAGGGGGGGAAAGAAATTAGCATAAGGCAAAATTTAAATAATTTTGTAAGGAGCTTAACAGCTCAGGCCTTCTTAATTTAGTATTGTACCTTTTCCCAGTTGAAAATGTTAAGACCAATAAGCTCAAATAGTATTTAAACTTGGTTAATTATCCACCAGGTGCAAAGTAGAGTGGCATTTGGTAAGACACTGAGCCAGTTTGATACTATCATCAGTGACATAGCTCAGTCTAGACTAGAGATAGAGCAGGCCAGACTGTTAACATTAAAAGCAGCTCACAAGATGGATACTGTTGGTAACAAGGTCCGTCTATTGATACATATCCTCATCCTTTTTGCTTGTTTTTGTAGGTAGCACGTAGTGAGATAGCAATGATTAAAGTTGTTGCTCCTAACATAGCACAAAGAGTAATTGACAGGGCGATACAGGTAATGACTATTGTGGTTTATTGGTGGGTGCTTACATTAAAAAATGAGCATTTATTAAAAACATCTTTTTGCTATGTAGAAAGATTGAGCTAACTTCAGATTTTTGATTCAAACATAAGCAACTTTATACCTGTACCCTTTTATAACTATACTATTAGGCACATGGTGCTCTTGGTCTTTCCGAAGACGTTCCTTTGGCACAATTTTTTGCCTGGTCAAGGATCCTGAGGTTTGCCGATGGTCCAGATGAAGTACACAAAACTTCCATTGGGAAGTCGGAATTAAAAAGAAATTAGACATTTTATTGGCATTTTAAAAGAAATAATTATTATTACACAAAAATATCTGTGACGAACAAGACTTGTGCGGATATAAATCTACATAATTATTCATGATAAATGCAATAAAAAAAAAGAAAAGAACATACCAGTCTTGATAAAAATTTTAACAACACAAGACAAATGAGTTAAAATTGACAGTAATGACATCTAAATCTGCTACTTGCAGTTCAATTTGTGGTCGGCTTCTACTTTCGAAGTTCTTCCATCATCTTAGAATCACTTCTTATTGCATCCTTCAGAGCTGCTTTAAGTGTCTCATCTTCAGATGCTAGTATGTATTTCAACATACTATCAACCATTGTTTGGGTAAAAGGATTCGCTCCGCCACTTCCTGCTCGTCCTGGTGGGCTCGAGTCAGAGCTGCTGCGTCTGTTCTGATCAGCCAAAGGTGGCGAGAGGCTTTTAGAATCATCCCTGCGTCTCTGGAATGGGCTTGATCGTGGGGAAAGGTCCTGAGGACTTCTTGGGCTTGGGCTACGTCGTCCAAAAAGCCTCGAGGGGGAGAACCCTCTTTTCTTCTTTCCCTCCTCTTCCTCCTCAACTTCCTCATCAATTGAAGGAGGAGAGAACATTCGAGACTCATCAACTGATGCAGGCTTGTTCTCTGTACCTCTCCATGCTCTGTCTATTTTGCTCTGGCGTGGGCGTGGAGGAGTGTATGGCATCTCAAGCCTATTGCTGTACACTGGCACGTCTTGAGACTGGGACTTTACTCTCGGAGGTTTTGGCGATCGTCTCGAATTTGACGGAGACTCTGAATCAGGTTCACTCACCTTTCTCTCCGGTATTGGTGATTTTCGTGATAGTATCGGTTCGCTTCCCTTGCGTCTTTGTGGACTCTGAGACTTTGAAGGAGTTGGTGATGGTGAATGAGGGGGTGGGGGCTGCTGGTGAGCCTCAGGTTTAGCTGCTCCTTTCGGTTTTCCTGTGCTGAATCTTTTCTTTCTAACGGTTTTCCTGTACAAAAATAAAATATATTACGTGTATATGGTACTTAAAATGTTAACATTTTATCATTGAGTACTACATTGATTAAGATTTATTGATGCACTCCTCCACTTACTGTCTTGGGGCTTGGGCAAAAGATGATATCACTGGGCTTTCTTGTTTCTCTGAGCCACTGTCGATCCCTGAGTCAATAACTGCTGACTAGTTGTGAAAGCAAAAAGAGAAGTGATAACATGCCTTCATATTAAAGTGCTCTTACTTCTTCCGAACCTTCTTCAATCTTTTTGAGGTATGTAGCAGGTGCAACGCCTACTTTTCCCTCACATCTTATCAGCCACCAACCAGTTAGTGACTTTTGGAGGACCTCAACAGTTAGTGAAGGCTCAAATGATATCTCATCCTCTTCCTCTGCTGTATAAGAAGCAACAGTGCGATACTTCTCAATATCTACAATAGAACAGTAAGTATTAATGTTTCAATTGAGAAATGATGGTTTACCTAGTGAGGAGACAGCAATCTCTTCTTCCACTTTGCTATCCACTGGTTCAAGATAGCCACAGGGAACCCACCCCTCCTCGTCATCCTTAGTAACAAACCACCATCCTGTAGAGATAGGAGGGAAAATAAAAGGAAACGATGTTACTAGAAGATACTTTATCATTCGCCAACAAAGACGAGTATCTGAGTTCATGGGTATAAGCGTTGATTTAAGATATGACTGGTCTTATTGTAAATATTTACTCTCTCTCACACACAACAGTTCTATCAAAATAACTTGGCAGGTTTGAATGCGTGAGTACAATTACTAAGGTTTCCAATAGATAATAATTCAATTTGTGAGTAATACAGTATCACAAATATGGTGTTTTCATACTCTATCACTGATAGGATGTGAGATTCTAATTTGTAATTTCATTTCTATTCCCCGACACCCCATGGAATGCTTAATTGATTGAATTATGCTAAGAGTGATAACGACTATAAAGTAAACTTGCATTCCTCATCAAAGTGAAATCAAATGCTTAGGGTCTTCATGTTTTTGCTTGAACAGGAACAATAACTCAACGAGATTATAAATATTTTGAAAAACAGGAAGATTAGCTCACATGAAAGTGCAACTCTAACCTTCTACGTGCTGCTTAAAGCATTTTCTTCCAATGGAATTCAATAACGATTACCACGCAAGCACAGCACAATTGCATAACATCCAATTACCATTACTCCTCACCGTCTTCCAGTTTGTCCAATACGGTAATAATCTCTCCTTCTTCAAAGTTGATCTGTCCAGGGCCCTGAGCCTTGTATGCATCAATGGCCATATACTCCTGTGCTTCTATCTCTAAGCTAACAGGACTAGTGGAACTGCTGCTGGACGGGGTGCTCTCAGGATCTTTCTTGGTAAAACCTGTAGAAGCAATACAATAGATGGTTATTATAGCGATATTGTGCAAAGTGAGGTGCTAGCTTAGTAGTCAACTCTATTTGAGTGATGATTAAGTAACTAAGGAAGTTGCTTGCTTGATATAATTATAAGACAATGTAGACTAGACATTGGCATTATACTCTTGGCAGGACATAATTTAATGCTGAGCAAAGGCAAAGCTTCTAAAGTACATTTGCTTCCATAGAAAATAGTTGTAATAGCATACCTTCTGGAGGTCCTATCATTCCAAGGCAGTCCTCAATGTCATCACCCTTTGTCTTCTTAAGGTAGGATTCAGGTATCCAGCCAATCTTTCCTTTTCGCTCTACAAGGCACCATCCTGTTGTTCAGAAATTAATATAATTATTGTGAACATTAATGATTTAAGTATTGTGACATCCTTTTTCCTAGTATGCGTGATTGTTCATGTATCTGTATACCTGAGGGGTCTTTGTTCATCACTATCACTTGGTCTCCACTGTCAGCTGTTAACTGACTCTCTTTCTCTCCCTTGAAATCAGCAATGACACAGTATTCTTCCCAAGTGCTGTTACCTACAATTACATAAAATTATAGTTTATGTACATGCACAGTCATTGTTGCAACATCTAATCTTAGCTACTGAAGGATATTGAAATAGATATACAGCGTGTTTACTCAAGCATGTAAATGTATAGATATTTTGATAATAGTTCCCATTCCCAATATATAAGCAATTTTTCCTTTGATGTAAAGCTAGGGAAGACAAACAAAGTATAGGAGTGTCTCTTCACTATCGATAAAATCAAACATAATTAGATAATAACTTTATAATTGTTTGTAACACAAGAAGATTGCAACAGGATAAGTTCATACCCCTCAATTCTCACGAAGAGATCATGTTCTTACCTAATGGCCTTTTCTGAGGATGGAGGGAAGCTGGTCGGCTCAAACGTAACCTATAAAATTATCAAAAATAAATTTAGTTTTCCCCTTAATTTCCCTCTCACTTTGCTTGCTTCCTGTCTCCAACCTTTGGCAGAAAGAAACTGACCACATGCTTTGATCTTGAAATGCTCTCATCCATCCTTATGATTGACTGTATGTAATAGAGCAAGAAAAAGAATAACAATGCTATCATAGGAAAAAAGGCAAAGATAACATGCAACTTAAAATAAACAATAGATTGCACTTCAAGAAAAAGTTCAACATTCTGCAATAAAAAAACACAAGCAGATATAAAATGATCCTAAAACTGATGTGTTATAGTAATTTGAAAAAGCAACTCCTATATGCCTCACACTTTAAGCATTATAACAAAACATGCCACTAGTTCTATTACAATAGCTAATTATTTTAGTAATTTAAGTGGGAGTTTGTTGTACAAGCATTATCATGCATAAAATTTCTAGTTTTGTTACTATGAGATTTCTTTACCTGGCAGTATTGGTTCAGTGCTTCCAGCCGTGCTTCTGCAACACTCTCGACATGACTACGACCAAGAAACTTTCTCTCTAGAATGAGTCATGAGTGTGTGAGTGTGTTTGTTTGTGTATATATGCATACCATGATTGGGAATAGGTGTGTGCAAAGTGTGTGTGTAGAGACAAATGGAAATCAAATAAATTGTTTCATGCTGATTCTCGTTTACTTGGCAGAGTAGGGAGTGAGCGACGATTGGGACTCTCATGAAAAACAATTTTCAAAGTTTCCTGCAGAAGATAAATATCAGAATGAATTCAAAGTGTATATGAAGCACAATTAGTGCTTCGTTTGCACTTGTAATGTTATTGTCTAACCTGGAGTGTGAAGAAGTCACTGTATCTTCGAAGTACCTCAAACCTCTCATCATTGTCCCATGTCACGTCGATGACAAATACCTAAAAACATAAATGCATTCTTAAATAATTAATATACTGTACAAAGCATGCTAGGAGTTGCATTAGTAACAATTATCTTACGTAGTGCTTGCTTGGATTTCTTCTCTTTTCATAGCCAGTGACAACAACGTGGTTAACAGCGGACTTGGGCCCGTCTCTATTGCGAGGCATGTTCTTTTAGTTTACACAAGTTGGTCAAAATATGCTCCAGAAATAAGCTATCCTTTGCTTTGTATACAAAAGTAATAGATGAGACTGTTTAATGTCTAATCTAATTTTATCTACACTCTGTCTAGTTTTTAGAAGCAAACAACAGCTCTGAAGATGCTGCCCCTAGCGAGAAGCTCCTGATTTTATGGTTTATGCATAGCTAGCTCCTCCCTTCCTTTATACAGGAAATCCTATCTATAGTCTATTATCTATATAAGGAGTCTGTTTACTATAGATTGTGGTGAGCTCTTTATAGCAATCTGTATGTCTGATAGTCAATGGTGATCTATTTACACACAGGTGCACATGCTAAGCACATGCTCTGATGCTACTACAGCTTAGACTGCTCAGCTGCATCAGCTTTAAATTGTCTTCTGTTCGATAAAATAATTCTCGTTAATTCATAATTATCATTACAGTGCTGACCTAATTAGAAATATGGTATTCATCAGAAAGTTGTTTGTAATATTCGTCACGTCTATCCAATCCTTTGACGACATACTCTTCAATAATGTTTTGTTCATTAATGGCAGCATACTCATCTCTCTCTCTCCTCTTGTATCTAGAAGCAGTCAATGCATACAATGGGAGCAATAGAATCATTGCCACTACCCTAAAACTAACTGCATAGAATTGACAATCAATTACATTGACTGATAGCAGCATCCCAACCGGTATCTTAAAGCTCGTCAAAAAGAACCAAAGGCCAATGAGAAATCCTTGCATTAGTCTTGGGGCTTGAGCAAGAATGAATTCAATTGCAGTTAGACACACAAAGAGAAATGCAATTCCATTGAAGATTTGAGGGATGAAGATTACTTGATAAGGAAAGAGTTCAAAGTTAAAGTCTTGAGTGTGCAAACTATAATTCCATAAACAGATTGAGTCATTATTAATCAAACTACACCTATCGCAGGAGGTCAGGGCATGAACTTCCACCGAGAGTACAATTTCTATGACTTGAAGAAGTATAACTGACAGTAATGCAAACACCAATCCAAAGAACATCCTCTTAAGCAATGATGGCATGTACTTCTTGACATGTTTCCTCATACAACAGTGATATAATGGTATCAATATTAATATTGTGAAGGTTGTGCACGTGAATGGCATAACATTGAAGTAATCAAATGCAACATCAGCTTTTAGATTAAGTGCAGTTTTTATTTCTCTCATGTGAGAGCTTGTGGCTACAGTTGCATCAATGAAGAAGTATCCACTCACACTAAGCATGACTAGTAATACACGAAAGAATGTCTTTGTATCCTCAACTTCTTCCGTTGTAAAAGGACCTCCGAATCTTTCCTTGGCAAAATCAAGTCTAGTGGGAGATTCAACTCCATATGTAAAAGCACTTCTGAACTCAAAACGTGAAGCCTTGTGATGCCAGGAGTACCGGAGAACCTTTGCTAAGTGTTTGAGTGGGTTTCGACCTGCAGGTTCGTTTACTAGCTTATGTCTTAAGAGGGTGATTCCTACGACCCCAATAGCCCAACAGAAAACCTGGACTACACAAACTATTAGTAAGGTCAGTCTGACTGCTTTGTCCAACGAAGTAAAAATGTACAGAAATAAAAATATCAGGTTTGCTTCGCCGTGTCCAATAAAAATAGCCCAGAAATACCAATGAACGAATGAGCTTAGCTCGTTTGAGGAAGCTCCTGGCATTTGATCGGTTGCAAATTGAACAGCATTAGAGGAAAAGAGTGCAACCCCAGTCTGTATCATACCTAATGGTAGCACCATCCCAGCCATTACAAAAGGCCAGGTTGCTGTTTGACCGTAGTAGCTCAGAAAAGAAGCAATTGTTAATATAGCTGTGCCTATAACATTGAAGTACATGGCAGCATACATTGTATTGAATCTCGTCCAGTATATGTCTGCCAGTAGGCCAGTGATGGGGTAGAGAATGAATCCAATAAACTGAACGAGATCAAGTGTCGTGTTAAACCAGAATCCATTTTCTGGTGCCTCCTGTTTAATGATGTAATTAAAAAGGTACCCAGCACAACTGTAGACAGTCAATTGGTTGATGAGTATTGTCCAAAGAATTACAATCAGAACTCCATTGGAAAAAGAGAACATGACACCCCCTAACAAGCCCCACCCATGAAAAAAATCTGCATTAAAAATAATAGACAACCAGATCAAATATAATATTTAGTATGTTACTAATGGAGTATCATCATTTGACAGCTCTTCGTAATACTTGTCACGTCTGTCCAAGGCTCTTATGCAATATTCTTCAATAATATTTTGTTGGTTAATCGTAGCATACTCATCTCTTTCTCTTCTCTTGTATTTTGCAGCAGTTATGGTGTATATTGGCAGAAATAGAACCATTGCTCCAATTCTAAATGCAACAGTATAAAACTGACAATCAATTGCTTCAATGGACATTATTATTCCAATTGATATTTTAACACAAGCCCCAGCATGCCAAATTCCTATTAAAAAACCTTGCATGAGTCTTGGTGCCTGTGCTAGTATAAATTCTATTCCTGTTACAAATACAAGAAGAAAAGCTATTCCATTGGCAACCTGTACAATGATTACAATCTGATAAGGTAATAATGCTGTATTGAAGCTCAGAGTTGTAGTGGTGTTTTCTAATAACGAAATCTCTTGGCATGTTGAATCATTCTTCATCAATTCACAACGACTGCAAGTAGTTAAATGTTGCACTTTGACAGACAGCACAATTTCTATTACTTGCAATATGATTGCACCAACCAGTGCAAACATAAGGCCAATGAACATTCGTTTCAGCATGGAAGGCATCTTTATACACCGTTGTAAACAACACTGGTAGACTGGAATGAAAAACAATATAGTTAGCAATGAACCAGTAAATGACATCATAGTCAAATAGTCAAAAGCTCCATCTGCAGTCAAACCTAAGGTATTTCTTAGCTCCTGCATGTGTATATTTGTTGCAATAGTTTCATCCACCAAATAGAATCCAATTAAACTTAACAGTACTATAAGTACACGAAAAAAAGTTTTTGTATCCTCAACTTCTTCAGTTGTGTAAGGGCCTCCAAATCTCTGTTTAGCAAAATCAAGTCGACTAGGGGTTTCAACTCCATATGTAAAAGCACTCCGATGATCAAAGCGTGAAGTTTTGTGATGCCAAGAGTACTTCAAAACTTTTGCCAGGTCCTTTATTGGGTTACGACCAGCAGGCTCATTGACTAATTTTTGCTTTAATAAAGCTATTGCGATTATTCCAAACAGAAGACAGAAAGCTTGAACGACACATATGATAATAATTGACAAATACACTGCCATTCTGAGTGAAGTAAACAGATCGAGTACTAGTAGCAACAAGCTACCTTCCCCTTGTCCGAAAAAAATAGCCCACACGTACCAATAAACCAGTGCACTTAAGTTATCAGAAGATGCTCCTGGCATTTGATCAGTTGCAAATTGAATAGCATTGGACGAAAACAAAGCAACACCAAATTGTAGACTGCCCAAAGGCAAAACAATCCCAAACAGTATAAAAGTCCATGTAGTAATCTGGCCATAGTAGACTAAAAAAGAAGCAATGGTCAGTGCAATAGTTCCGAGCATATTAAAAAACAGCCCAGCATACATTGTGTTGTACCTGGTCCAATATATGTCAGCCAATAGCCCAGTGACTGGATAAAGAAGAAATCCAACAAATTGTATTAAGCTAAGAGCGATATTAAACCAGAAAGTGTTCACTGGGTCCTTCTCTTTAATGATAAAACTGAACAAATATCCAGCACTGCTGTATATTGACAACTGGTTGACTAGTACAGTCCACAGTATGACTATTAGCCCACCTTTTGAATGAATTAAACAAGAAGCGCGACATAAAGACTTCAAATATCTACTGATCTCGGCCGCCCGAGTCTCCGCCATAATACCGGTAACTGATGTAGACTATAAATTAATAATAAACAGCTCATAAATAAAAAAATAGATTATATACGTCATCAACTCATCATTTGTAATTGTCATTTTGACATTTGATTGAATTCAGGTGAATTACCTAACTGGGTGAATTTAAAAAACATTGTCTATTTTTTAGTTTTTGTTATTATATTTTCATTTTCATTGTCAGTTATTTTTATTTTTGTCAATTATCATTTTCATTATCAAAAACAACATGAGAGCTTCTAGGACGAGGCTCAGCAACAAGTTTAGCTGGTCTTTTCAAAGGTCCAGTGCTAGCAGTGTCTCTATTGATATTGTCCCCTTCTCCACTGGAAGCTGTCGTTTTCGTCACTTCTTCTTGTTTTTGACTAGTAGATTTTTTCCTAGAGCCAACCCGTAAATTACTCAACCACCAGTCCTTGAATGATTGACGTCTTTTATTGAGTCCACCATCAGCAACTTGCAAGGTTGAGTCTTTCTCGGCATTCGCTGCCGGCTTTTCCTCCTCATTTAAAGTCTCCAAGAATGTCTTTGATTTTTCTTTCCTTTAGAAAGCAAGATAACAAGATGACGCTATAAATGTGTGTCCATACCTTCTTGGAGGAGGATTTTTTATTCCAGACATAGAATAACTAAGAGACGCCTAAAGAAATGAACATGGAATCATGATGATCATAAATTGCATGTAAAAGCTAGCTTCTTCTTACATGCAATGATGATGGAGATAGTGACTCTTCTACCACTGCTAGTTCATCAAATGCTTTTAATATTACAGCTGGTATGTATCCCTCTTTTCTCTTGTATCTACGCAAAACAAATTATCATAAATAGTTAAATATTATACAGCTATCAACAGTGACATATATTACAAAACACTACAAAATTATGAAGGGACAACCATTAAAAAATATATACGCATGTATATACTTCACATTCAAAAGCTCTTACTTTACTTTCCACCAGCCAGTGAGGGATTTCTCTGTCACTTGAACTCTTACTCCCATTGGAATCGAGAGCTCATCTTCAGCTTCAGCATTGTAGTTCTGAACTGTTGTGTACAGCTGACCAGGGGCATTAGGAATTAGCAAGGAAGACATCAGCTCTGTAGAATATAAGTATACACGTATTTGTATCAGGATCACAAAAATTGACAATTCTCTCTTAGCAATTTTAATGAAATACCCTATACATGGGGGTACATGGTCTTTGGCAAGATTTTCAAGCAATTTAAAAAATTTATGAAATAATCTAAAATTTCTACATAGCATTAAGGGCATCAATATGTATCATTCAGAGCCAATTTTTGGAAAATACCATAGGCTATAGTCTTGGGTACTTTCAGATTTTCAATGTTTTTTTAATGGCCGTAACTTGAAAAATTGAAGTCAGAATCTGCTCAAACTTTCTACACAGCATAAGGACATTGATATGTATCAGACAATGTAATAAAAATTTGGGGTATTTTGGAGCCATTTTTTGGAAAAAACCATGGACTATAGCCTTGGGTACTTTTCAGATTTTTGACATTTTCTTAAAATGGCCGTAACTTTAAAAATTGAAGTCGGAATGAGCTCAAACTTTCTACACAGCATAAGGACATTAATATGTATCAGAAAATGTAATAAAAATTGGGGGTGATTTCGCAGCCATTTTTTGAAAAAAACCATGGACTATAGCCTTGGGTACTTTTCAGATTTTTGGCGTTTTCTTAAAATGGCCGTAACTTGAAAAATTGAAGTCGGAATGAGCTCAAACTTTCTACACAGCATAAGGACATTAATATGTATCAGAAAATGTAATAAAAATTGGGGGTGATTTCGCAGCCATTTTTTGAAAAAAATCATGGACTATAGCCTTGGGTACTTTTCAGATTTTTGGCGTTTTCTTAAAATGGCCGTAACTTGAAAAATTGAAGTCGGAATGAGCTCAAACTTTATACACAGCATAAGGACATTGATATATATCAGAAAATGTAATAAAAATTTGGGGTGATTTTGCAGCCATTTTTTGAAAAAAACCATGGACTATAGCCTTGGGTATTTTTCAGAATTTTGGCGTTTTTTTAAAATGGCCGTAACTTGAAAAATTGAAGTTGGAATGAGCTCAAACTTTCTACACAGCATAAGGACATTAATATGTATCAGAAAATGTAATAAAAATTTGGGGTGATTTTGGAGCCATTTTTTGGAAAAAACCATGGACTATAGCCTTGGGTACTTTTCAGATTTTGCCCCATTTTTTTAAACAAAGCATTTTAGTCAAAATCACACAGAGCACTATAGTAGCACTTACCATCTTCAATAGGCTCTTCCTCCGAACAAGGCAATAGATAAGTTGAGGGAACCCATCCACCTTCATTGTTGTATGTAGCAAACCACCAACCTATAAAATAAAGCATAAAATAAAATCGTGCAATTTATTTTGCATCACTTTAACGTTATAAACCAATTATTAAAAACCACATAATATTAACAAGAGTGGATAAGGAATTTTATCATTTTATTACAACAAAACATTGATTATCATCAAAGTATGACCTACCATCTTCACATTTCTCTATAACAGAGAGTACAGCTCCTCTTGGAAAACTCAACTGGTTACTTTCACTGCTCTGGTAGTCTTCAGTAGCAACATGCATGAACACTGAGACTGGGACTTCAATCTCAAATGTTTGTGAATCAAGGATTGTTGGATTGGAAGTCACAGCATTAGCAGATTCATCCTCAGTCTTTATCGCATCAGATTCATTCCAAGTCTCAATGACATCATATTCATTCTGAGTCTCAGACTCATTCCGAGTCTTAGTATCAGACTTATTCCTGGTATCAGTCTGAGTCTCAGACTCCAAGTTAAGCGTATGCGGTCTCAAGGAGCCGATGAATCCCAGTATTTCTCTAGTTTCTACCGGGCTGGTTACTCCTCTGTCTCCAATTTGACGTAAAAACGAAGCTGGCACATATCCACATTCATCTCCATTATCATTGTACACAAACCACCACCCTAGTGTAATAATATTAATAATAAATAAATAATATAAATAATGATTTACATAATCACTAGATCTAATCTTACACATCGCTCACTATAATTATCAATCTACACATCACTTTAGTTATCTTTAGTCATTTTAGTGGCTCAAATATCATATACTATCATGCAATAAAATTAATGAGTAAGGTATAATTTCCTGACATACCAGAGTCATCTTTTTTCACTACTCTATATCTCATGTCTGCCTTCATTGGTATCTGGTCCTTTGCGTCTTTGGAAGGCATGAAATCAGCCGTGGCTACATAAATACCTAACGACTTTCCTAAAGAGAGAAAAATGGCAAAGTATTAAGAAATATAATTTAAATAAACAACCTTCAGGGACAAGGGGATAAACTGATAGCTCTAGTGAATGCCTCTTAGGTCTTTCAAGCCTGTGAAGAAAAAGCATGAGTAAATGATTTATTGGGTTAAAGAACTTCAAATATAAATTAAGTATTATAAATATTAAATAAAATGTCATACGATTCAAGCTGTGAGTCTCCTGGTTTGGCGCTAAAAAAGTCTCTCACAAAAGTAGACCGAGCCAACTTTTTTGGCAACCCCAGGAGAATAGTCTACAAAAAATACAGTCAAAAAAATAATACTTATTATTATTTTTTTAAAATTATTTTACATACGGTGCAGTAATCAGTGATCAATTGCAATCTTGACTCTACAATTGTTTTCTTACTGGTAGCACCAAGAATGGCAAGAACATTATCAGCAGCTAATAGAACAAAAAAACACAATTAACTTAAACTAACAACACAGCGCTCTGATTACAATGCTTCATTAGGTCCATTTCCCTTACTTGGTAATGATGGAATTATCCTCTCAGACTTGTTCTTGCCAGCCTCTTCAGGGAAAAGGAGCAAGAGTGTGTTCTGTAAACAATAAGAGCTTACTACTGCACAACAGTGGAGGAGTAATGTACTATAATCAGTACATTATATTTTACAAATTATCTATTGCAGGTCTACATGCATGAGTAGGTACTTGAAATGTAAAGAATTCGCTATAGCCACGATAAATTTCGAACCGCCTTTTGTCAGACCAGGTCAGCGTTATCGAAAACACCTGCAGTGAAGCTCAAAATGAAACTACACGCATACAATTAAAAGCCCAAGGGAAACTGACAAATTTTCCATTTTGTTCTGTAAAGCTGACACTCTCTACATCAATAACATAAGCATTTTCAATTTCTTTTTGTGCTAATGGCCTACAAAATAAACATTGTAAGCAAAGCATGTTTAGACACTTAAAGACTCAAATTTATACAAAGGCCGAGTGCTGCTCTGTCTACATAAGCCTCACCTAAACTCCACTCCTCTTGGTAAAATCCCCAAAGCACTGGCCTCTACTTCTGTTGCATAGCCGTAGTTTCCGAGCTTTGCTAGAGCAAAGGACAGCTCTGTCTCTAATGTATTAACTCTTTGTTGGCTCTCCATTGCTGCCCTGTATAGATTCAAGCATACATGATACTAATAATACTAACTATCTTACATATATGTATGTACATGCATGCAGCAAAAGGAGAGAAATAAGGAGGAAGAGGAGATGTGATAGATAAGGAGTGATTTAGTTCTACAAATTACCTCTTCCATTCTGACAATTCGTCAAGTAGACTATCATTTTCTTCCTTCAACTCATTCTTCTCTTGTAGTATAACGAGTAGGTCTTTCTTATAAAATCTTGGCTCTTCTTTACCGGCAGTCGCCATCTTTTCAGTTTCGACTTCATCTTTCATCACTTCTGAGCTTGCTCCAACAACCTCCTTTATTCCCTCAGTCTTCAAGTCTCCATTTTCTCTAATTTTTTTTTGTTGTTTGTCCCCAGTTGGATATGACTCTTCTTCTTTGTCATGTAACGAAGGGAAAGAATGTCTTTTAAATAAGTCACTAAAAAGTATCTGTCATCAAATAAAAAAAGAAAAGAAATAGGTAATTAAAAAAATAAGAAGGAAAGAGTGAGGGGTGGAGGCCCAAGAGAAAAGTACCAAAGATACATATATGTGTATATAGCATTACTTGTTTGTTGGTTTGTCCGATGTCAACTGTTAAAAGCGATCCTGAAAGCATATCCTTAAGAATGTCATTCTCAGTCTGTAATTTCTTTGAAAATGAAATATTTGTATCACAATTACACACACAATAAAGAATAGATACAGTGTACATACAATAATATCAGAGTAATTCACCTGGGTGTACTCCACCAACTGTCTAGTCTCTTGATAGATAGTGTCATTCATTTTCTTGTTCAATAAAGCAGCATGCTCCAGCCCAACTGATGAATATGCATCTTTAGCTCATGTGATCCAAATAGTAGAGTAAATCTACCGTTTATAATGACAGACTGTGTTTGTTTAGTACACTGCAAGGTATAGTAAGGTCCCAACTATCTGTACAATGTTATCATTGTTATTCTTAAAAAGGATATACACAGTATGATAATAATACATGTATGGATGTCACAGTGAGGACTATAGTACAACTTTGACTAACTATAAACAGTTTATTATTATTATCATTATTATAGTTACACAATCAATGGATGTGTCAATACATGAAAGCTACTAGTGTCATTATTCACTGAGTGCAGCATTGCTTCATAATTTATGCTGGTTCTCATGGAGTAACTTGTTCTTTGCTCTTTTCTGGAAATTAAGAAATGCAGTGGATAAGTCTGATGGAGTCGTAGCCTGATCTGCTTGTTCCCCTTCTTTTTGCGGTGATTTCAAATGTCTCTTGTAGCCCATACTATGGGAACTATTACCTTCAGTCTTTGAATATAGCGGAGAAAGAGATCTGTGTCTCGGCGAAGTTGTTGGCTGTCGGGTTCTTTCAGACGGTAAAGAGGAATAATCAAAAGCGGACAGAGGACGCTGGTAATAAATAGATGAATTAAAAGAGGTGTGGTCACTTTGAGAAATATGGGTGTGGTCGGTAGCTGATAGTGGACGTTCGTACGTTGGTGACGAGGGTAATGGAACATGGTCACAAGCAGAGGCGCTGTTCTCGTTGCTATGAAGAGGAGAAGAGGGAGATGAGAGAGAGTTGGGATGAGTAGATGAAGAAAAATGGGCTGGAGAAAGAGAGTGTCTCCTTAAAGATGGGTTACTGTCGTATAACATTTCTCTTTCTAAAGGAGAGAGTGAGCGATGTTGATCCGCATAAAAAGAAACCCTCTCCTTTTCTAGCAGAGAGAGAGAACGGAAGCTGCCCCTTTTAATAGAGCCCTGTCCATCTCTTGCGACATTATCAACTGGCGAAAGAGAATTGGACCTTTCGGAGTACTTTCGGGGATAATAGCTACCCACTTTGTTTGAATAATCGGGTGAGAGAGACCGATGCCTTTGAAGCTGAACCTGATCCGGCGGGACTGTCATTAGGGACTTCAATTGTGTATCATTTATAAGAGATCCTGCCATATAACCAGCTGGGACGTGAGAAGCAAGACTACCAGAGTAGGTCCGAGTGTCTTCATCGATGTTATCTGTTTCAGTAACAGGCTCTGGACTCGGAGGGCTCCCATTATTTTGAATTTGTGATGGCTTTAATGAAACTGATTCTATCGCATCCTCCAGTGATACGTCTTCTAAAGATAGAGAACCAGACATAGCAGTAGTTTGGCTTCCAACTGGAAGAGAGTGACGCAAACTAGTCTCTTTCGTAATAAAACTAGTCTCGTCCATACTGCCAGTACTGAAGCGGGTTTCGCCAGCCCAAGCATGGCCAGGTTCTTCAGCCATCATTAGTTTTGGCTTTGATATCAGTTTGAGTTCTTCGTTGAAACTTGATTCGTCGGAAATTGCAGCAACAATGATTTCGGGACTCTCCGGTCTCTCGTATGCATCGGGACTGAAACTTTCATTCTCAGGAACCAGGCTTGGAGAATCGAGAGTGGATTTGTGCTCATCGGTAATCCTAAGGTGAGGTATTGGGTTAACCTTAGGACTGAGTCTGAAAGCAGTTTTAGGACTGGGAATGAAATTACAAGACTTGACAGTATTGGAATCAGTCCTCGTGATTCGGGACTCAGAATCCACAGGTACAGGAATGGGTTTTTCAATTACAGACTCCGAAACATGAGGAGACGATAATCTCCTTTTGACCTCAGGGCTTGTCTTGACTATAGTTGGCAGTGTAAAAGGCATCAAACTACCTTCATGATCATCATGATCATCTTCCTCCTCTCCACTATCATGTTTATTCTCATCTTCCATCTCTCCATCATCGTCATCATCTTCTTCAGAGTCTGAATGACTGCTAAAAACCGTTCCTTGCTTTTTATAAAAAGTGTTTTGAGCCCCCAGCCTTCGCACTGCTCCTCCTTTTCTTTTATCATCCTCTTTATCAATGGTCTCTCGAAAGCCGACATCCGGAGAAAACTTTACATTCCCCAGTGTTTTAAACTGTTTTAGGCTACTCAGTCTCCTCCTACCAGAGGCAGCGAGGCTTACATTAGCCATGTCTTCATCATCGCTCATAACATCATTATCTCTCTCCTCCTCTTCTTCGCTTATTTCTTTGTTAATGAGTCGGGGAGATGCTTTTAAACGTTCAGACACTGCACTAAGAAAAGAGACTGAATTTGTATCTGAAATACCCTCGTCTACTGCCATTGGAGTTGGGCTTTTTGAGGATGAGATTTTACGATAAAACCTCAGAGGTATCGGACTGGGACTTCGATACAAGGGCGATACATCGGATATTTTTCGAGGGGCCGAGAGCTGATTAGAATGACGGCCAAACTGTGGGGTCCGGTCCATATCAAATAAATTAAATTTAAATGAGCGGTCGAATTCCGGGCTCGTGGGGGCGGAGAGAGAGACTCTTCGTTTATCATGACGGACGTACATTGGAATGGGAGAGAGCGGCTTTCTTAATAATGGCGGGACCCTATCTCTCTCTAAGCTTCTCTCCTCCCTTTTCTCTTCTTTCTCTTCCTCAATCTTGTTGGTATTTC